TTTTTTTTTTTAACATAAAATAGTTTATTGATAATTTATTTTAAAAAAATAGAATTTGGTAACCATGTAAAAGTAGACATGACCAAAGCCGGGGCTGGTTCATGGACTGGACCGGCCCGCCGGGTCGGCGGGTCTCAAACCCTAGACCCGTAACCGGCCCGCATATATCTTAAGGGCCGGTTCAAAATATAATTATAGTTGTGGCCTGCCGGAAAACTGGGACCGGAACCGACCCGACCCGGCGGGTCACAAAATGAGAACAACATGACCCGTAACCGGCCCTTAAGGGGTTATGTGCCGGTTAAAAACCCGGCTAGAGCGGGCCGGCTCGGGACCGGTTCACGGGTCAGGGCAACCCGTGGCCCTGTCTATGTAAAAGGGTATGCATCCCCATGATAGGTTAAATTGCTCAACAGCCCAATATGAAGCCCATTTCATAAGGTAGCAGCCTAGTTCATTATCAAAGCCCATCACTTGTTTTGGGTTCACAAAATGGAAAAGAGTAGGCCATATATATCGCGCGCGATATGGTCATCAGCTCAGAAGCTCTTTTTCAATTCACATTGTTTTTCGACATGAAAAGCTCTTTCACTTTCACTCCGCTCGCCACTTTCTTTTCCCGCCCTTTCTGCTGTTCGTGACACGATTAACTCTACCAATTATAGTCTTATAGAGCTGAAACTCTCCTATACTGTTCAACTGTTGTCCAACAATAACGCTCGAATTGCATTTTTATGGTGCGATTTGTTCTGAATATCAATTAAACTTCGACGGGGACGGTTCATACATAAGACATCGGCAAGCATCCACCTTGCCAGTAAGTCAATGATCTTCTATTTCCCCCTTTTTCTTTTTGTTTTTTTTGGCGAATTTGATGATTATATCAAGTGTAGAATTCATTTGCTGATCGGATTAGATTTGTGTGCTTCGTCGATTTTGTTTTTCTGTATGATTGAAAATTGAAGCCGCGTTTCTGTTTGTGATGTTTGATGTGCATAAATTTGAACTCAATCCTTAATGTGTGCGCATTTGGAGATCATCCGTGCTTTGAGTTATATATATGCTTGTTGGTATTTAGGAAAACTGGAACTAACCTCGGTAGCTACAAACCAGTGAAGATGTGCTTTATTATCGAGAATCAAGATGGTCGTCCTTGGTTCCATTGCTACATGTGAGGCTTTGTAGATTTTAGTAAATTTTCCCCCTGTTTTTATTTATTTTATTTACTTTTATCATTATTTTGTTTCCTGATGGAAGTAAATGATTGGGAGTTCGATATGTTAACACAGCTACATATTGATCTAACTTGGGTAGTGCAAAGCATTACATATGTAGTTTAGGAGTACGTGCACTGTGATTGAAGAAGATATAGAATGATATTTCCAAATATAGTGTAGGTTAAGCTTCTGTTAGGTAATTTGCATTATGAAGCAGAAAGAATATCGACTTGTGATATTTAAGGTATAGACAAGGGTGGTTTAGTCATACTTTAGGACATGCATGCCATAAATAGGAAGCCGGCAAGAAAACAATATAGAAGGCCACACACATCACGTGCAGAGTTTATATGCGGTGTCCGACTTTTGGTGGAAGGATATAGTGAAAGCATTTATCAAAAGATGTGATATTATGAAAATCATTTAATTCTGACACAAGCCATAAGAATTGCAACTTCTGTGTGCATCTAGAGAAAGTAATTTGTAGACCACTTTGTATATTGAAATATATCTTAAAATATGAGGCCTGAGGGAGAAAAGGAAAAGTCAAATTCGGGTGTTGTTGCTGTTAGTGAAGAAATCACCAAACAAAGTAGCATTGTCATTATTGAAACTCATTTTAGTACACATAATATGTCATTTCAAAACTAATCTAGAATACCTTAGCGAGTACAGAAACCATAATCTAGTAGGTGGCATATATTTTCTTTTCATGCTTCTTTAAATGCTGGCAATTAGACTGTATTGCTCCATAATAACTTGTTGGTATCTTTATTTGGAATCCAAGCACCAGCAGTAATAATCGCACCTCGATATTTCCAACATCTGTTGTGGAGTCATTCTTTCAAGCTCACTTTGCCTCCTTGATGCTAAATTATTCCGGTTCTGCAGGTCTGACGTTGTAGGATAATCACCCATGTTATGAACTTGTGATCTCATTTTCTTGTATAGCCTCATTGCCGCAACACAGTCTTCATACGGATCTTGTATGCTGGTTTGAATGTCATATCTGTAGGTACAGAATATTTATATCAGGGTAATTTGAAGTTATTAGAATTATAGGGTAAATGTTGTTGTGCAGGACATTGACTATAAGTGGTCAACGATTCAACTTATCGTTGAGCAAGAAAAATGAGCAAAAAACTTCTTACCCAAGGTAAGCCTTTGTTAAATATTTCAGTGAGTTGCTGAGCTTGCTTGTTTTCATTAATGGAGGATATTTTGCTATATCCCTGCACAAAGAGTTGCTAGATCAGTAAGACAATGGGTACTCTTTTACGAAAGATACCATTTGATTTTTATTTTCTATTTCTTGTTAAGTATGTGAGCAAATAAGTTTAATTCTCTCTCCAGAACCGCTGCAAATAATTATTATGTACAACAAATTGGTTCAGCTGCAAGGCTTACCTGATCATTATATCTGGGTACTCCACTTCCAGGCATTTCAAATCATGATCCAATCCGTGGCCCACTAGGATCCTAGCTTTTCCACCCCTGGAACGGATCTGCCATATGGGTTCACCATTGCATAAGTAGTCTTGAATCTTTCGAGCCACCTGCCTTAGTGGCATGGCATCCCTTAGAAATTCCGGGCGTATACCTGTTGTCTCGTACCTAAAAACATCTTGCAACTCTAAATTCCAGTTTTTGGAGTCTACTGTATCAACATCATAGATAATGTTTTTCTAGAAGAAAGTTGTTACCTATAGTTTGTGACAGGAAGGGGTGGTTTGATATATGCTTGAAAGATTATTTTCTCATGCTCGTCTATGAGGCATACTCTCGCACATAAATCTAAGGATCCATCAGTGCCACCTCCGACCTTCTTGCAAGCAAGCGAAATCACTTTCCCTCTGCTATTATCAATCCTCATCTCGTCTTGAATGCCCAAGTTAGCCATCCGGTGGATCAAGCCCTAAATCCGGTCAAGAATTATTAGTTCGTATAAATTATATGGATCTTATGCACGGATGGTGGATTTGAAGTAAAGTCTTTCGTTTCAAAAGTTGGTTTCTTTTTATCATTTTACATTGTTTCCACGTGAGAATTGGCATCTTCCTCTGTGAGCCTGAAGAGCATAGCGGCTAGAGAGGATGGTTAAACAGAGGTCGCACCCTCTTTCCTTGAATATCCTTTCGCATTCTGCTTTGGGCAGAGGTCCTGGCAGAAGGACATCGGCATATATTAGAATAAAACCCCTTAAATAAGGATATCATATTTCTGTTTTTCAGGTTATTGAAGAAAACCTATGACATGTTCCCTCAGAGATTCAAAGGATCTGAAATGCTTCTGGCAAATTCCGCAAACAGGTTCGTGATTCGAATGGTAGGAAGCCTTCATATGTTCAACAAGATGCTCCATTTTGTTGTACTGTCTGTAGCACGCAGCACACTTGTTCCTGACCCTCGAAATAATTAGACATTTAATGAGTCATCACTAGTACTTGTGATTTACTAAAGCAAAGATGATTTATTTAATGTATCAATTGCATATATGAAGGGTGCTTCTCATTGCATGAAATAATTAAAAAGTTTACCTTGGGTTTTCAGATGACTCATGTCTGCCGTCCATGTTTAATTGATCGTGTATTTGCTGAACTCAAATGTAACGTCAGATGAGTTGTTCAAGAACTTGGGGAGGAATGAGACTTTCAAGGGTATTTATATTTGCTGCTTGGGATGCTTTTTTTTTTTTAAATTTTTTTTCTTCTTCTTTTTCCTACATGTTTGACAGATTCTGTAAGGGCACGAGTTGCAAAAGGTGTCATCGTCATTTTCTCTACAATTCTCCCGCTTTTAAGTTTTACCAATTAATACAGATTTGACACCAAAAACATTCATGGTAATCCAAAATGCCGTGGGGCCCACAAGATCGCTAGAATATTTTCATGCTAGCACATCTTATCATCTCCTCAGCTCTCTCACATTTGAACTTTTGCAACTTGTCTCTGGTCGCTTATGTTATATGATGTCCGCGTGTCACTTACTGGTTTGATCCTTGATAGGTTGTTAGTCAAAGCATTGAGCTAAGTAATTTGACAGACAATTCACGCATTTGTTGTGCTTCAGTAGATCATGTGGAAAAAGATAGAGAACACCAAAAAAAATCCCTCCAACTGCATTAATTAATCCGCTGCGCTTAAGATGTTTATAAGTTCATATAATTCTTGGTTTTTGATATGGATATTTTCTTACAATAATGTACAGTTTGTGCGGCATGGAATGACTTTATAATTAACCAACAGAGTTCATATACATGGGCTTTTCGAAGCCTTGGACCGTTCAAGGTGTGTATGTGAAGCTGTGAAAGATCAATCAAGTTGTGTCATGAAGCAGGTAACATACAACGTTATGGGCATTGTATTGAACATATAACAATTGTTTTTATACTCATTGAATGGAATAAAGCAGTGCATGTTGATAAGCTGATTATATTACAGGACAAAAAAGCAATATAGATATATATATATATATATATATTGGCTTGTCAGATGGGTTTTTATCTCATATCATCCTTTCTGCTGCAAAAGCAATGGAATAAGGTGATAAGGGATAATATCAACCAGCTGATGGCAGGTAATCTTTCTTTCCTACTTACTCCTTTTTACCCACCCGGCAATGCTACATGTACAATTGTAGGTTACAACATTATTTGACAACATAGTTAAAAGTATCATTAACTCAAATCTTAACCACACATTTATTTGCATCTCAACCACCCACATTATGACACATCATGTTGTCATTGAATGTTGTACGAAAAGTTGTACAAGTAGTTTTTTCCTTACCGAAATGTCTAGTCCAAGCTGGTGTAGAATTTTATGTTAACGGAAGCTAAAGTAAGAAATTAATTTAAGAACTATCAATTAAATTTAAAAGCTATAACTATATGTACCAATGTTTTATAATTGTTAGGTGTTTGCTAGGCGACGGGTTGAGGACTAGCGCCTAGGGTGGTTAGGCGAAGTCATAAAAATATTAATAAGTATTTATATTTATTATGATACATAATTCAAGAGATACATTATATAAAAAATAATGAATCAATATACTTGATACATAGATTATCGAAACTGTAATATCCTCGATTCTACTGTACTAAATGGATTTTTTTTTTTTTAGATTTCATATATGATAATTAGAACCTATTCTTATATATTTAAAAAGTATATACAAAATGTGAATAAACTTCACAGATACTTAGACCGGGGCCTAATTAGTTTAGGCATGACTAATTAGGCAACATCATTTGGCATTTAGTAAATATGAAGACCAACAACTCCCAATTAGGGAAGATTCACACCTGGTTTAACTTGATACTTTATAGATTTACATAAAATTGTGAATAATATTTCTAGTGATACTGATACACCCTTCAATAGAAATCTTTAGTATAGAAATCTTTAGTACTAAAAGTCATATAAGGCCAAATTCATATATACAACCTACATCCAATTACGGTTTTACCCAGTCGTTATATTGTTCTATACTACATGTTCATGTGAGTATGACACTCCACTTTCATTAATTAAAAGACTGATGATTAATTGCTTTTTTATTTCTATATTCATTTGTGTAGTTGAATGTTAATCATATACCTTTTAATTTATATTCATTGATAAATTTAATGGGGCTTTATTATTATTATTATTATTATTATTATTATT